TATGTTTGTCTTCTCTATGGAGATGAGGGTTGCTTTTACTGCATATGTGTACATATAGTAAAAGGTTTTGCATTAAGTTACGTGATTAAAATATTTTCTCCACACGCCCTAAATAGAGGGTGTGTGGCGACACACCTCTCTGCACTGCTAGAGCTGTCCCAAGGGTCCTTCAGGCCCAGAGAAGAGAAAACCCACCAGAAGTTAGTAAGGGGTGTTCTCTGTGGCATCTCAAAAATAAGGGAAGACACTGTCCATTACTCCATAGCTTACCATAGGAAGAGTGTCCTGGAAATGGAGGTAGGAATGGATAGTATCTCTTTTGCATACCCATTTTTGTGGAGAGATCTAGAACCTAGACTATTACTTGGGACTGTGGGACGCAGGATCCCTTGTGTCTGGGTAACAGCTGGAGAGAAACTGGAATGCATACATACTGTGTGGGTAGATGCCAGGGATATCAAGCTGGCCTATGTGGCAAGTAAAATAACAGTCCTGGGAGCTAGGTGTCAAAGTCAGCCAGAAATTCTTGGCTACTGGGGACACTAGCACTAGTTAACCAGCTAACTAGCAGCCAACTGTAAGATCCATTTGTGTGCATCCATCTGGGCATTAGTCAATTGGAGTCCAGAGAATGCAGAGGTTAGTTACTGGATTAACTGTTTAAAACTAGCTGCAGGAGAGACCCATATTAAACATACACATATTTTCCATTAATGGACATTCATCTCAAGGAGCCAAAAAGTGAACAAGGTCAGGCCATTACTGCTGTTTACATTTGTCTTAATGCTGAGTGCTCCATCTGTGTTGATCTGTGTGGCCAGAAGTGTACATGTATTGTGAGTGCATGTACATGTGTGTCTGCTAGGGCTGTGGGCTCAGCTCCATTAGTCACTAATAACAGCCTCTCAGAACATGGGGCTGCTGCAGACCTGTGTTTATCGAGCTACTGCATTCTTCAACTCCTAGCAGTAGACATGACAAAAAAAAAAATTGGTAAATTTGATTAACTATATGCATCATTTAAATGTTAAATAAATGCATATAAAATAGTGATCGATTCTGACTACAATTTCTGTTCCAATACGCTTCACAGTCTGTTGCTTTGGCTGTGCATCAGTGAGTGCTACATATTGTCCTTCCTCATCTGGCCATGGCCTTCTGCAGGGTAATTTGTATTATTGCAGAAGTAAATTATGCAACTTGAAGCACACCATTAACACTGTACAAGGTTTTCCAGATGTCCAGATATCAAGTGATTAGTATATAGTCTATGGACACTACAAGCCAAATGTTATTAATTGGCTGTAAAGGAGACAGAGATGAAGACACTGTCACCAGGTTCTCTGGAAATATTGGTTCTTCCTTGTGAGAATATATGTGCATCCTGCCTATCACATGTAAATGCACTTAAAACTGACTAAATTTATAGTCTCCTCAAGCAAAGGTCTGATTAATTCATGTTTTTACAGAGACGGAGGATGTACTCTTATTAGATGGAACTGAGATGCTTGCCTGGTAACAGCAAGAGTCTGTATTTGGCATATAGCAATGTTTTTTTTCTGTTTCAGCTATTTATATTCATATATTACAGAAGGTAAAAATAATGCTTGTGAGCATAAGATGAAGCAGGAACTTGCAGAGAACAAGGAAGAGAAACTAAATACCAGTTTCCCCCAAAGTGCAAAATGGGAAACATCATGCTAGCAACAGAGAAGCAGTAGCCAAAGACCAGATATATGGATAGACGTGGTAACAAATGTCAGTAGGAGATGCCAGGTGTGTTGTTATTTCTCTTTTAGAGCATAAAAAACATGCAAATATTGCCCAGATGGTTAGATTAGGAATGATGAGAATGAAAAATCTTTGAATAAATGCTAGCATTAGAACTAAAAAAAAGAAGTGGGCTTTGACTTCCCGAATAGTTATAGATAAAATACAGTGCTAACAAGGTGATTCAACCCACCTGAGATCTGAACCATTCTTCAGGGATCTCTATCAATGTGTATTAACAATGCAAGCACTCTAAAATGATAATGCTATGACCCAGAAGCCTCATTTTGATGTCATATTTAGATCCTGAACTCTTCACTCAATTCTTCTCTAGAGGGTGCTGATGACAAAGCCCATACTGTCTTTTCTGGTGACAGAAAAGAGCTATTATTGTTTACATCCTAGGATCTTCAGATATATCCTACTCATTTTCTGCAGTCTGCACTTGTAGTGCTGTAATTAAGATGTCATCTGAAATATATGAAATCTCACCTATTCTGTGGAACAGAGCATACACATCCTCTCTTGTCCTTTACTACTCTGTGTTTTTTGTTGAAAATTCTAAATGGAATAAGGTATGTTTTGGATTATTTGCTTAATTTGCACATACTAATTACAAAGAACACAGTAAAATCAGTACAATTAAGTTATATGTAAAGCCCCCTCTCTTTTGGACAATAAATCACTAAACATGACATATTGCAGTAAAGTGGAATAAATCATTGTTAAAAAAATAAACAAATTAAAAGTCACTTATTTTATTAAAAAAAATCAGTGGGAAATAAAAAAAAATCACATTGCTACATTATCTTAAGTATCAAGCCTACTGAATACATTGCTCATATAAAAAAAAACTATTTATGAATATTGCCTGAGAACAGATTTTCAAAAGTGTCACATGCCAATTAACACAGTACATGTGAATAGAAGCATAATGAATTTGAGATGATAATATTCCCACATACAGAAAATGTCAACAAGAACATAATTGGCAGCTATAGCATATGGTATATTGAGCTCAAAAACTTGTTTATACCATCTTGAATCTCCCACTAATAAGATTTCTCTTTATTAACAAAATATAAAGGAATATATCTGAAGTGCCATTCAGAAGTGTCACTTCCTTTCTGAGATTCAGACATGAAAATTGATTGATGTGTTTTCTAATGTCAAGATTGATGTTATATAATCCAGTGGGGTTCGTACACCACTAATAGTATGGAGTTTAATAAACCTTCACTGAAGTTGCATAAAACTGCTTGCTAGCTAAAAGTATTAGAACTTGGTATTGGCCAAGATATTTTTGTGTGTCTGTGCATGTGGGTATATATTTCTGAACTTTTAGAATCTGAAATCACAATAGTCAATATTTTCAAGAACAAATATGCAGGTCTGATTTCATAACTTTTGTAGACTCTGCTCTAGTCAAAGTTTGTTCATGCTAAACGTAAATGACCAAAAGGAGACTTCTTCGGTGATCTAGGCAGGATGTTTCAGCTACCAAATCAAACTTATTTTCTTCATTTACATCTGACTGGCATGGGGATATAGACCTTTTAGAAATGAAATATCAGTGTTACTGTGGCTGATCCTGATGCTTTCTAAATGTTCTAGGAAAGGAGAAGGTGAGCATATTAAGAGTGTCTTAAAACTCCCAAACATATGCACGAAGAAAATAAATATGCATTAGATGGACATGAAATTTGAACTATAAATCAGACTGGTGATAATTTCTTCTGCATTTCTGACTCTTTCATAAATTCTTAGGATATATGAGCTTAAATTCAAGTAGCTTCAATCATTATGATAATTTTCAGATTTTGTATAGCTGAAAAGGAAAAAAAAAGGTTTAAGCAAAATTCTGGAAAATTTTCCTCAAAATTTCCCAGGAAGTTTCAAACCCTTCTCTTTCATTTCCTGTTCTACCTCTTGCAGCATAACTATTAATAGTATTAGTGACATGTAGTTACTGGTTGTTAAAACCATGCAAACGTCGCTGTAAATCACATTTTACCTTCCAAAGATTCCTCCTCTTGATAGTATCAGGCAGGTTGCATTAGCATGTAATCCAAGGGTTGCTTACCAGGAAAGTGAATCCAGGCTAGGCTCAGATGTTCCTTATAAGGACTTAAACACCACTGAAACAGAGGTATCCTGCCTCTTAAATTTGATATGAAGAGGTTGACACTGCAAGAAGATAATATAGATATTTATCTACATCAAATGCTTAATTCTAGTGGTTTTTTTGAGTTGGAAAGGGATGTTCAGAAAGGAATCAGATCATAGAGATTCATGAGTTTTCCTCCAGAAATATTTTGAACATTGATAAAAAACGTAATTTATCAGTGAAATTAAATACTGATTAAATTTGGGAGGTCTTATGATTTTTTTTTAACTTCTTAGCTACATGATTCTACATATTGGAGAACCTCCTTTTTTTTTATGAATACAAAGGAAATAAAAATTTAAAAATTTCTTTTTGGTTTAAACCCAATTTTAAATTTACAGTAAACAGATTTGATAGCAAACACAATGATTTTGCAAAGATGGTTTTAAAGGAAATATAGCAGAATCCAATATCTAGCTGAAATTGGAGGAGAACTGTAGAAAATTTGAATTTGCCTTTTTAAATTCATAATGAGAATGACATGGAGGTAAAGAGTAATGGAATTTTTTAAACACCACAATTTTTACACTTACTTGTTTTACAAATAATTTGATTATTTCTCATGACTTCCTAACCAGGCTATTTAGGAGCTGTTTAAGAAAAGTGTATAATTAGTTCATGTTATCTTTCCAAATAGCTTTTCCCATTTTTTTAGCCATCTTGCATCCGTATAGTAGCTTCAAAATAATTTGTTTATTAAGACTACCTAGAAAACATTTGAAAATATGCTAAAACTGAACTTACTGTTTTCAATAATGGCTTTAGTCTCACATGAGCCAAGTACTTTGACAACATTCCTCGGATGCTTAGCTTCACCAGGATGAACAAATGCCTACTTTTCTCTTTACTCACTAGAATGGGGACAACATGGTATATTCTTGCAAAGTTCTCATTACACGTCAGGTGTTCTTTAGGTAATGGAGGGACAATGATATCCTTTGAACCAATGAATGGATGTTTAAAGAATTCAAAGGTTTCTGGGCCAGGAAAAAGATCACACAAAGAGTGAAGCTCCACAAACTGTGGTATTTAATTGTTTCATCTTCTGTTTTTAATTTCATAGGAAATAAAATCATTATATCCCTATCTCAGAGGGATGTCTCAGGTAAGTTTTTTTGCTTTCTTTCCTTCTATGGTCCAATATATCAGAGCAGATCACATTCATCCTTACCACACATAAAAAGAATAAAAACCTCACTTTGTAATTGAGCAATTATTACTACTTTGAATGCATTGGTAGCAATAAAATAATTATAACTTTACACATAAATAACAAGTTTTGGATGATGAAACAAATAGTAATATATGCTAGAGTTGTTCTCCAAGGGTTTTCATATTTTCAGCTTCCTATGGTATTTTAAGGTGTTGTCATTGTTCTCTTTTTTCTTTTTTTCTACCAGATAAACACTTCTTACAGATTTAAAACCAAGAAATTTCCCTTAACTGCCTTATTTTTTTTATTTATTTGGTTTTGTTTGTTTGGTTGGTTTGTTGGTTTTGGGTTTTTTGTTTTGCTTTAGTTTTTTGTTTATTTTTTTATTGGTTTGGTTTCTGCTGGGGCTTTCTTTCTAAACTTTCAAGCACTGGAAAAATGACTTCTGTAGTAGATTTAACTGAGTCACTTTTTTACTCTTCTTGCTTGATCTTACCATTTTGTTGTCCTTGAAGTGGTAATGTGACAGTTGGGTTCAGTTCTTTGTTTCTAGTTAGTGTCCTCCCTTAATAATAATTTGTAATGTATTTTGTATGAGCAGACCCTCCCAGAATTTCTGAGAAGCAATGTTCCCTTTGACTGTTGTGAGGGCTTCAGCATTCCTCAGGAAGGTGGACTCTCATTGTTGTGCTTAGCAGAATGCAATAAATCAGATTATAATGTACATTGATATGTACATAAATGTTCTTACAGTTGTATAAATTATAAAACCAAAATCCATCATATTCACTGCTTTTACAGACATATTATATTGTCATATGTTTACAAACAGGTAAGAGCCAGCTTCTTCAAAGAAGAATTTTTAATGTAAAATAATGAGAAGGACTATGTGAAAATAAAGCATTAGTCCAGGCTATCATTTAGGACAGTATCATGGAATATACAGGTTTAAATCTCCCTAAAGAAATCTGGATGTGAGCCCAGGAATTTTATACCAGGTGAATTTTTTAAACAGTGACAAAATAGGAGAAGTATTTTGAAAATAAGTCTTGCCCTATTCCTAAAGATATGCTGATCCAATTTTGCAGTAAGTAAAAAATTTTAAAAGACAATTATAATTCCATAAAGATTATGATCCTTTGACATGAGGGAGATTCTTCTTTGAGTCCAAAGAGGAAAATATTTTAGCCTTGGAAAATTGTAGGTGTAAAAATATTCTGTGCCTCAGCATATGCAAAGGATTAGCAAGAAGAGCTTTCTGCCTACCCTTGTGAAGACTTCTGAAATTCTTGATTGTACCTAGGCTGCTAATTTAGGGCTAATCTGGTACAGTTTGAATTTAGCCCTAAAAGTCTATGCTGACATAGTAAAGCTGTTTCTGACTGTTCAAATAATGACAAACAATACAGAACTACTCAACATGTTCTAGTTATTTTTAAAGTTTATGGTTCTTGTTCATAATTAGCAAACATATAATGAAAAATACTTATTGTAACTTTAGAAAAAAATCACCCCATTTAATTTCCAGAAGGATCTCAGACAATTTAGTCTTGGCTCTACTTTAAGATATTACCTTTAAATGGCTTAATATATATGCTTACTGTATGCTTTGTCAACTGATTTTTCATGAAAAATCTTCTCATACTCTTAATTTATAATTTAATATTTTATAGGATTTTCTTTTCCAATCATGAGTCCTCAGTTGACTGTGAGATTTTTCATGTTAGGGAGGTAGTTTTCCTATACAAATGCCATGCAATCCTCCAGAGAATTGTACAGGTTGTCAAGAGAGTTGTTTGAACTGTAAATATTTTGATTCTGGCTAAATTATTGCTTAGTTGTGTTTGTAAAATTTAAACAAAGCACAAAAGCAAAATACATGACATCAAAATAAACACAATGGAAAAAGATGTTTTTGGGGGTTGGTAATAGATTTTGTTCTCTCTTAGATGTTTAGCTCTGTGTTTCAAAATACAATTGAACTTCATATTAAAAAAAAAAAAATATTACAAATAGGAAAGTAAGTCTCATCGCTGACATCTTTTGTCTTGGTCTCATCATGTTACACTGGCAAGATCCAGTCTTCATTGCTCTAGGGGCTCCTATCCCTACCTTTACTGGAAACTGAAAGCATATATATACCAACCTCAAAGTTTGAAACAGACTTTGCTTATAATTCTGAGCTTCCATGATGTGGTAGAATTAGCAAACACCTATTAACATAATATTGAGTTCTGATGAGTCCAACATTAAACATACTTGAATAATATACTTTATACTTGAGTCCCTGTTTATATCCGATTTAAAAGAAAGAATGAGAATTATGCAACAAAAGTCTCTGCTTCAGAAAAATCTGTCATTTGTAGACAAAAGAAAAGGGAAGAAGAAAATAGTAACATTACTAATTTTAACTCTATGAACACATTATAATTAAATCATCAATGAATTTAAAATTTAAATGTTTTTGAGTGAATAGTCTTTCAATTTTGAGAAGTGAAAATCATTTTAAAGCATTTTCATCAATATATTCTGCATATGGTTTTATTGGCAAAAATTATCTAACTGATCAGCTGCACTAGATATCTGAATGCTTTTAGTGACTGTTTGAACTCATGTCACTTTTTTGTCTGTAGATTTCCTTCCTACTCAAGGATTAAAGAAAGAAGTAAAATTGCCCTGTTTTAAACTCCCTTTGCTAATGTCCATTTTTAGTGGCCAGTAATACTCAACTACTTTTTTTAGCCTGTCTCCTCTTTTGTTCTTGTGCTTAGATGTTTTACAAATACATGAAGTGACACCTCTGGGTCCATTAAAGATAATTGAAACTTCTCATTTTGCAAGATCCTGTTACAATTCACTATTAGGAAAGTAGAGTAAAAGTTGCAGCACAGATCTATTATACTATCACAGCAATTCTTTTCTGCTATTACAGATTATACTAGACCAGTGTACAAGAAGAGGGAAAACAATGTAATGTATGTTACAAAGGATCATCAATCACTTGATGGGCATAGTCATCACAATATAGAAGGTGCAATTTAACCAGTATCAATGAAGCAGTTCCTTATATCTCCTAAGGAATAATCATTGTACATATTCCTTTCAATTATTTATATCTTCCTATTGTCCATTTCTCAGAGGAAAAATTAATTTGGCCTAGCCAAGTAAAGCAGTGCTGTCTGCAATCCCTTGAAGAAAAAGTAATCTAGACAGTAGGCAAAAACATGAAGCTAGTCTAAATCTGAGCAATACCACAAAAACCCTGTCAAAATTTATTTTTGTGTAGTATGGGCTAGATAAATTCATCATTTAGAGTATAAGCAAGGTCAAGGATAATCTTATTTTAATACTAGGCCACGATTTTGAATAATTTTTTTCTGAAGAATAAAAACCCCCCAGAAAATCAAACATGTTGATATGCCTTATATACATGTGTAATCTAAGTCAATGTAATGACACTTTAAAGGGTGCTTGTTCGGATAGCAATTGGCTTAAATTATATTACCTGGCCACAGAATTTGCAAACATACTGGCATGGGGACCGCATTTTAAAAAGTTTCCATCAGTAGCACTGAAACCCACAAGCAAACTATATTAGAGTAAAGAAAACCAGGTTGCAACTTCTGGGAAATTAGTTACATATGATTCATCACCCAGATTAAGCTTTTCTTTTCATATTTTTCTTTGCACTTTCAAAAAGTGCTTTTTATAAGTGCTTAGTATAAGTTAAAAGATGCTCAAAATATTGCACATCTTTTAACTTATACACGGTGAACAGTCTTAGTGATGGTAGAATGTGCAATATTTTCATCTAAAAAGCATCTTTACCAGCTGAAAAAAATAAATAAAACTGTGATATAAATATAAAGCATAAACATATTAAAAATTAAGATACAAAGTCTTTAATATTTGTAGTAACTTGTCAGTATAAAATAAAAATGTCGATATCATAACGGTGTTGGGAAAAACTATAATGTGATCTTCTAAAGAATTTAATAACATGTAGTGGGATCATTTACAAAATTTGTAATTACCTGCACTTTTTGTCTTTTTTCCTAATCTTTTTTGAAAAAAGAAATTCCCCCAAATATTTAATTCACTGATGAAAAATTCTCAGTACTGTCATCATAAAGACATTTTTGATGACAACCTGAATGAAAAATCATTCCATACAAAAAAATCCTACTGATTAACGTGCGCATTTTGTATTTCACCAAGTTATATGACATTTTAAGTCTTCTACCTTTTTTACTGCTCTCAAACACTTACTCTGATGTTACATTTTGAACAGTTGCCACCAGTATTGTAAATGATTAACATGGCTGGAATGTTTGACATATAAAGGTGTCAGCATTTATTAGTGATCAACACCATCCTCTCTCCTCTCCTGATGGATTTTATGTTCTCTCGTTAAATGGAAAGAAAGGATGACAGGGACAAGCAATATTTTCATGTTTTCTGTTAAAATGTTGCTGGCATTTGAGGAGACTTTTTTATACTTTTCTAAAAGAAAAGGTGTCATTGGCAATTGATTCTGTTGGGAAACTTATGATAAAAATCACATATACTCCTACAGCTTAGAAGACTGTCAAATCTTAACTCCATCAGTTTTCTTCTAGACCTGCCAGACAGAAGTGTTAACAAGAAAATGTTAAATAACTTAAAACTTTTAAACTGGTATTTAGGGAAAGAAAGATTTTAAAAGTAAGCTCTGATTATCCTAATAAGCCTGAAATGGACATTTTGTATTTTCAAGATTTTAAGAATTCACAACAATTAAGTAACTTAACATCATGAAGTGGAATTACAACTCTGTAGTGGTTGAAACAGTTATATTTGTGACTATATAAAACTTTCACCTTTATGGTTATCTTATTTCTTACCCTTTCTCTCCCATAGTATCCTTATTTGTCCTGGGAAGAAGTTACAAGTGCAATTTTGTTGAAAGAGACCTGGCTTAACTATTTTCCTTTTTAGAAGAAGCATCTCAGCCAACTTCATTAAGTTAAACCTGGCACAGTCTGAATTGCAAAATTGAGCATAACTAAAAATATCTAATTCTTTATGCAGTTTTGGCAGCTATTCCATACTCTGGTACAAAGTAGGTCATCTAAAATTTTTTTTGTGTAATGGATATTCTGTTGTACAATAGCATCATTTACCTCTCCATTTACTCTAATTGAGGGCAGTTTAGTTTGAATTAAATTTAGTTTTATGGCTGAAGCACCACAATAACAGAAAAGTCAAGGTGAACATGGTCTTCTTTTTTGTTTACTTGATTAAAGTGCATTCCTATGCACTTCCTACTAGAGTTAAGAAGTCCTACATAATGCACCTACCAAAGGCAATATCAATAAAATAGAAGCCATTGGAATGAATTTCTTCTGAAGAATAGAGATCTACAGAAATATTTTATCACAATGAGGTATTTTTTCTGACAGAATGTCACTGTCGCTCAAATGGTAAAAGGAGACAATTATAAAGAATAAATAATAACCACAGGTGCATATATTAACAGTGGAAATAAAGAATGGCGACTGTGCCTTATGCCACTCAATCTATACTAAGCATAACATCAATGTCAATATCATTTAATGCCTGTATTAATCAAAAAATGTTATTCTGATTGACAATTTTCTGCATCTGTATTGACATCTTTCTTTTTCCCTCCCTTGTTGCTATAAAACAGATAGAATATCTACGTTTTTTCTCCTTGCTGCTTTTAAGAAGAATTAAGACTGAACTCACTACTGCAGACTCTCTGTGAGGATGCTTCAGGTTTCCTGTCTCAGAATGAGGACTTGACATAGCAGATTACCAAGCTGAGGTCTGGAAGAAACATTTTGTGACTATGCAATGGAAAGCAATAATATGGCTGAGAATTCCATCTGTTTTTTAAGGTCTTGACTTGTTCAAGAAGCCTTATGTCTCTATCCCTTCTGGCTGATTTAGCTTGTTTTAAAAATTGTCCTTCTTTAAGTTTCTCTAGGCCTTGATTTTTCAGTATAATTTAATCTATATACAGTTCTGCCATTTTTTTGTCCTCATTTTCTATATTTTTTTCCTCAGAATTTACTAGTGCTTGATCCTTCACTGATGTTGCTACAAGGTCTGGTTTTTTTATTGCATCATATTTCCAGTTTCATTTTTTTCTCTGTGAGATCACTTTTCACTACTTTTTCTGATGTTTCCACTTATAAGGTCTTTGTCCCATCTCTCTTCTTTTGCAAACTGCCATTAGATCAGGTACCTTGGAGCAGTTACCTTGAGTGTTTCCAATGCAATCTAGTGACAACTAAACACTATGTATAGTGAGCCTTTGTTCAGGGATGTTTTTTCCCCATTCTTATTCCCACAGAGTCCAGCCTGTATTTTTCTTCTCTTTCTACATTTTAAATAAAGTTCAGACGTTCTAGCTTTTAAAACTTACTTTTCAAAAGTTTCTTCACTGGGAGGAAGTCCCTAGCATCTTGAAGAAGCAATTTGTCCTACATCCATTAGCAAAATAATTTTACTGTGAATATATGCTTGCAGGAGGTCTCCTCATGGTACAGTGGAGGGACTGATGAGCTGTGAGATCCTCAGTACAAGAGACCATAACTGAAGGTCACACTGCCTGGAGAATTACTGCTTGTGTAAGGAAACTGAAATATTTTGTGAACTAAAGAGCTAGTTCACAAGAGATCTTTTTTCCACATTCACTTTATAAGTGCATTAACCTCACTAATTCACACACTAGAGAGACAAATTTGGGCACACACACCAATAAAGTTGTACATGGAAGCCAGTAAGTTTTTCCTTTTGCTTTAATTTATGTAATGTTCATGACAGATTGATATGAGGATTAGGTTTCTAAGACAAGAAAACTTGTTGTCTGTAACATAATAGGGAGTACAAAGCACAATAAATTATATAAATTGGGAAGAAAAAAATTTAAACTTTTAATTTCTTCTTAGACATGCCTGGCTTCAATCCTCTGTGTTCTCCATATACTGAAAAATCTGTTGGTTTGAAACATCAAAAGTTATATGCAAAAAAGCTGTTTGTCAATGCTCCTTCTCTTGCCTGTAATTTCAAGAAGTGTGACAAATAAGCATTTCTTTGGCAGATCACTGCAGGGTGACAATAATATCTACAACATTTAATTCTTTTTATTGTGTTGGTTTCTTTTTTATGACTGCATGCATGCATATTCTCTAAAAGGTGATCATGGTCAGCATAATCCAATAACAAGCTTCAGCAAGGCCTATTCTAAATTATAGGAAAGAGCTTTAAAATCTAACAGAATTAGATAGGGACACTTCTCTTTAAATGAAAGCACTAATTTTCAAGTGCTCAACAGTAGGCATTGTCAGCTTAGGAATGCCAGAGCTAAATAGTCTTTCATTGTTGAAAAGAGATTTCCACAAAAAGGAAGATGATAGAGGAGCATATCCACCCTTTGTAAGAATGGTCTATGCAAATTATTTCTTTCAGAACTAATTTAGCATTGTCCCTTTGGTGTGATACTCCAGGAAACCAACAAACCTTCACTTTACTCTTCAATTTGCTAATCAGGAGAGATACTACTACCAACAGCCTAGAAAGTTTGGGGTTTTTTTGAAGGTTTTGAAGTAGAAGGGCTAATTTAAAAATGTAATCCATAAGCCGCACTTTAAACTAAAATATTTAAAGGAATTTTTTTTTTTTAAATCCACAAAAAATTCTCAGAAAGCTGTCCTATCTTATTTGAGTTCATTAAAGCATCCTCCATCACAATATGTGCCTCCAGCTCTACTGAGACACAGGTTATAGACCAGGAAGCTAATGAGATCAGTTACAGTGAGACTATAAAATTGTAGCATAAGGAAAGTACACATGGATTGTTATAACTTGGAAATCATAGTAACTGTACAGATACCTTCAGCTTTCTGTTATTAAAAGATGGTAAATATGCTAAATACTAGTGTATTATACTTAAAACAAGTACTTTTGAAACTTTGTAAAACTGTCTGCTTTTAATATTAATCCTTGTTGTATGCATTCTATTTTATTTATCTTCTCATTCTACTCTCTCCTGCTTGTCTGCCTCTTCTGTCATTTTCCCTCTCTCTGTTATTCCTCTGGCCTCTTTTTGTGTCTTTTTTCTCTTGGCTTTATTTTTCTCTCCCTGGAGAGATTCCCAGATCACATTAGAAATGTAGGTTAGACTTCTGATGTCATTCTTAGAGAAAGAAAAATAAATTACAACCTTAGTGTTCAAGGCTATATAGGAAATTTTCTTACATGATTCTGTAGCAACACTTTTTCATGATCCTGGGATGCTTCAATGTGTATTCGTGGATAGGGAAAAAATGAAAACTTGGGAAGGTATAACTTTAGATGTATGAAAACTTGTGCAGAGTTGCTTGTCTCGCTGTAGAGTTGATGTTGTTCTAGCCATCTAGTGACAAAAAATTCAGGAATGCCACTTTAAAATAAATTAATGCACTGAGTTTGGGATTTTATATGTATTTATTTCATCAGTTCTTCCTTGTTAAGACAATGCTGTGTGCTATTAATGCCATAACGAGATGCTCTAATCCCTGCACTTACTATAGGGAACATAGGTGCCTGACTGAGTATCATAGATTCTGCTGCACAGCCTAAATCAATGAAATTTAGAGCAGTCAGATTCCTTGTCTATTAGACATCTTTCTGAATAGAAATAGGTATTCTTGAGTATCTGAGTTGTATATCTTGTTTTGTCAGGTCAGGATCAAATCTTCTTGTTAAATTACACAGTATGTTTTTTATTACAATATTTCTGTAGCAAATGCTCCATACATGGAAACAGCAGCCCCACATACGTTAACACAATTCTTTCTGAAACCAAAGATCTCAGATGTAGGCTGTTATTCTTTGCTAATGGTCATAATTATGAGTCACTCATACAGTTGTTGCATGGCTTTAAAGTCTCAAAACCTATTGTAAATCATCCTGTATACTACACAATGCAAGACGTTTTTTCCAATTCCCTTTTTTAATTGACAAACCCATTTGTATAGGAACAGGTTTGCTGTTTTTCACAATTCATCTGCTAGACAGAAGACACTATTTTGTTGTAGAAAGCAATCAGGTTAGTGTGGCATGATTTGCCTTTGGTAAACTCATGTTGGCTTTTGTCAAGCACTTTCTACATTTGACTTGTAGGGTGCCTCAAGAGTTTAACATGGGAAAGCTTTACATCACAGACATGTATGTGTCTAGGAAGAATTTGCGGTTTTAAAATATTGTTTGATTTAAACTCTTATAATTTTGTCTAAAATTTATTATATTCACTTCCATGATACTTCAAACTCTGTATTTTGTATTTAATTCTCTTGTCTTGTCCATTCAGTCAGGTCTAGGTAGTGGGGTAGCTCTCTTGTAATCAAGTACTGTACCTGTAAATCTATAAGTTGCATTCCCTTTTACCTCTCAGTAATGAATTTTGATGCACAGGCATAGCTGTAGTTTGTTCTAGTTCCAGATTTTCTGTCTCCTCTGAGCAATCAAGCTACGGAACATTTTACCCACGTCTATCTCAGTAATATGCACCACAAAACACATATAGCAATGACAAAATCAACAGACTTTTATAAGAGCCTGTTCCTAATTACTGCAGGCATTGTCATTATTTATTTCTTTTATTGGAAATCCTTGTAATTCTACATATTTGTGCAAAATCCCATGTGATAGGACAATGTTTTTTTTTAAATTTGTTCTCTCAGTGATACAGTTGAGAGTATGGTGACACAATAATCCTCTGTATGAGCTATGAGGGTGTCCTTTTTTCAGGAGGCCTCCACAAGACTCACTTGTAAATCATTCATTAACAATTTAAGCTAAAATAAAAATGGAGAGTAATACATGAGAATCTGCTTGCTTTTTTATTTTTCTTTGCCCCACTGAATATTTTGCAATAAATAATATTATTTCCTGAAGTGAATATTATAGAAAGTATATATAGATATATATAATATACATTAAAGACAATGTATTTTAAAATGCTCTGTAATAGACAGTATTTTTTATGCAATTAAACAGGATAAAATTATGTAACTGTGTGGGAAAGAAAAAAGACAAAATGTCATTAATCTCGTGTCAGTGATGCTTTTATCTAATACAAATAATGATGTTTGTGGTGCAAGAGTTTGCTGCATCTTAGTTTGAGTAAATGACTACACTGGCACATTGATTGATAAATTGGTCACCATGGCTCACTTATTTCCTTGTTTAGTTCTGGTGTTAGAGGAAAAGTTCCAAATGCCAATCAAAAATTTCTCTTAAACACTAGAGAATATATAGGTAGTTATTTAAATGAGATTTTTTAATGAACTATTAGATAATTCCTCATTGTATTCACAAACTGCTGAAACTTATAAAGATACTTGGACTAATAAGCCATAGCATCTCATTTCTGGTGCCTTGCTTTTCTCATTACATTTTTTTCTAAGGCAATGAAGATTTAATCAAAGCAGCAGGAAACAGCATGAATGTTGTGTGGGTATTGTTTCGTGCACTTATGTCGGTGATTTCCAAGAGAAAGATGAGCAGAAAATGAGTTATGGCTGTACATGAAGAATCTGGATTTCTTCAGCTCTCGTAAGGTTGAGGAAATTTGAGGGAGAAAATCTGAAAAATTACCTGGAGCAGGGGGGAAGAATTAAATATATTTCTTGTTCTATATAAGCAAATTAGAGATATTTTAACGTTTTCCCTTAATACAATTTAAAACAACTTCTATGCAACTGAGGAACTGGGAGTAGAGAACAGGAAAGAAAGAGGTGGGCTTATTAAAAGTGGATACAAACAAGTTTGAAAACCAGTACACAAAAAATTTTTCAATTTTTCCATTGGAAAGGAAATAATATATATCTACATTTAGATGGGTAAATAAGCTTTAAGATGTTGATTTTTTCAATTTGTCAATCAATTTTAAATTCACGTTTTAACGCAAACAAGCTGAACAGTTGTTTTAGCACATATCAGAAGCCATTTTAATAAAGTAATAACGAAGTAATTTTTTTTTTTAATTGCAAGACTATTTTCAGAATAGGGACATTCAAAGTTTGACTTGGTTTTCTTTGATAGTACTGTGGTTGAAGAATCAACTTCCATTGGACTAGTCAATGGACAACTGAGGAAACTTTCAATGATTTTTGGGTTCTGGGTTCTGTATATTTCTCTAGTTACATATAATACCTTGATTCAAACTCAGACTCTCAAAGTCAAAAGATTTAAGATTTTTACAGAGGAGGAAGGTAATTCATGAACATTTAAAATCAGTCTTTCACATGAATGCTGTTGAAACTTTTATGTGTAGATTTTCACAACTCTTTGGTGGTTACCATATAATGATAAAGACAAACAGCTAAACACATTTGATTTCAAGGTTCCAGATACAAAAAAAAACCCAAAACAACTCAGTTGACATTAGTTATTTCTGAGGCAGACAAAGAGAAAATAATTTAATTTTTTTTTTTAAGACAGTTATACATTTTAGAAGCCTACATTATCACTTAATCTCTAGTGGAAAATTGATCACTAATTATCATATAGGCTTCAATGAGACTTAATGAGACTCTGCTCCTTTCTATTACTTTTCTTATCTACACACATACATTTAAAATAATATGTTAAATATTTTTTTCTAAGCAAATCAACTTTAGCAGGTTTTCTAAAAAAAAAAAAATACTGTCTTTTTCATCCTTATTTGGAGTATTTTGAAATGTCTGTTTGTATATGTAATATTCCTGTAATTAAGCTATCAAAGTTATGCTACTCCTGCTACACCTCTCTTGCAAAGCAAATGGGAGTAATTTTTTTTTTATTTATGAAATATTGATATGAAATGTTTCTTAAACTAACACACATCTTCTTTTCAAATGTCTCTTTTTCAAAGAAGCCTTGACTTGCCCTCACAAAAGACTTGCTAAGTATTTTGGATTTGCCTGTCAAGCCCAACAATGTTGACAATCTGCTGTCCAATTCTTATGATGGAAAAAAAGAATAGGTGTTAGTGTTTCCATAAAAGAGTTACTTTACAGCAGTTTCATCTTTAGGCTAAGCAATCAATGCAATTTAAAGAAACTTCACTGATAACACTATTGTAAACCAGTCCAAAAAGCACTATAAAACATAGTGAAAAACTGTCTTAATTGAAAGCTTCAAGTCGTGACTTCAGAGGGCCTATGAGACCAACTGTTCCTGGCGGCCGCCTGGCTGGAAAATCCCATTTTATATACGGATTGTTTTGACAGCAGCCAACCATGAAGATGAAAAACTAGCAACTGCTGATTTAGTTTCCCTTGGCATCTAACAGGAGAGGCTCTAAGGCTCCCTGAGCATGTACATTAAGTTATGATACCTTAATAACTATAAGTTGTGGAGTCCAGAAGGAGGTTGTGATCAAACTGTAGGGCTTATTATTTTAATGACTCTAATAAAATGTTTTAGAGGAACATGTAAATTCCAGCCAGCTTCGTAGTGAAGAGACCAACCTGTGCTGCACTTGAACTCAAGAGAAAGGGATTTAGTTCAATTTAGTTTGTTGAAATTCAATGTATTTAACTTGCTCCAGAGTAGCAAGTGAAAAATACAGTTTTCTTTTCAAGTGTAGAAACATTTGGGTGATTTGAAAATGTCATACTCTGCTTTCTGTGACTCATTCAAAAGTTCTTGGAATGAAGGTGTGAAACAATGTTTAAAAGGAAAATAAAAATAATAATTTTGAATTATTGCATAAACATGGACTGCACATCGTGAAGGAGACCAGCTCTGCTTATTCTTCTTCCAGGGGTTTCTATACCATCTGCTGAGTTTTATCAGTAGATATAGCTCTTTTGATAAAGAGCTATAAAATGATTATATAGAACTTTAAATATTTGGTGGTTTACTTTTATTAAGATACATATTATATGAAAGTTATACTTTGATAATATTCTTACATATTAGGTTTCTAAACACTTAAAAATTTCAAAATGCTGTAATCTTGGAGCAGTCTGTAAAAATGGGTGACTGTGGGGTTACGCTAACACTGGAACTGTCATTCAGCTAAAACCACAAAAAGATCTGGGACAACTTAAAAAAAACTTCTTCACTTGTCAGCAACTTTATGTTGGGGCAATCTACATGGTGCAGGTGTCGAGGCATTCAGATTCAGACAGACCAAGTCATCCATGTTTAAAAATGTAATTTTTATTGTCAATATAAATATGTCAGCACAGTCTTGGGATATCTGTTGTCATTCTGGCATACTACCTACTTACTGCACATGCTTTTAATAATAATGATAAATTTAAATAATATTTTAATAATATAAATAATAATAAAGATATAAAATAATTGTTTTAATATGCATAAGGTGAATATTGAAAATGGTTAGCCATGGTTAATAATGTAGAAAAAAAATCATAAAAATAATAACCTCAGTGAAGTGGTATGGCTTTCGAAATGCTCTCCCACCAAAAAAAAAAAAAAAACCAAAAAAAAAAAACCAAAACAGAATAGGTTTTGCAGATAAAAATATCTAAATTCTATATCTCTTTAATGAAATTGTCACTAGAATAATATCACATCTGCACTTTCTAAGCAAGCCAGCAATTCACTGACTTTAAAGTTTAAAGAGAAATTCCAATGTGCTTTGCAAAAGAAAATATTTGTAACATCTTCCTTGTAGTGGGTCATTGCAATGTTCCTTCAGTTCTGTGCCATATAGATAAAAAGCCAAAAACTAAGTATGTTCTAACTTATTTCCAAAGGTTTGCTATTGAATGCAGAGCAGTTTTCTTTTTTTTGGAACACGATGTTTTACTTACAATCAAAGCTCCTGTTTCTGCAACCTGTGGAATTGCCTACTGTGTAGCCTATGTTACCTGTAGCATGTGTAAGAAAAGATATTGAAAATGAAATTGCAAACATACTAGAAACGAAAGGATTTTCCACATGAAATAGAACTTCTAAAGCATAGGCAAAAGAAAAAATTAGCACATAAAACAAAGAGCATATGAAAGTATACCATTGTTGCAGTTCAATTGCACACCAGCAGGCTTTATTAAGCAGAGGAATGGTGGATGAATTTCAGATGACACTAACTAGATTGTGCTCTGACCTGGAATATACAGTACTCGAAATTTCATGGCTCTCTCCCAGACTATTAGTAATGGCAGCTTGTATGCAGCAAACTCAGCATGTAGCAAATGATAGATAAGCCAAAATCTGGGCACCTGTCCATAACTGAATTGTAAATACAATTCTCTTTCTGCCTTTGGGAAAGTAGCGTCTGTCTTACACTTTTTAGCATACAATTAAGACATTACTTTAAATTAATATTCCCCGTGTTCTACTGCATGCCATCTCTTTGTTGAGAAATTGATAATAAAAATTCAAAAATTATAATATTCTAAATATTAATATGTTTACTCTGAATATAATTTATTTTTAAATGTTTGAAAATTCTTTTCACAGCTCACACTGATTTAAAAATTATGTTCTTTAACATCAGAAGTATGTTGTGAAGTTTTACTTTAATGCAAAAAATAGAAATGTTTGTCTTTAAATAGCATGTAAATTTTTTTCTCACTATCGAATTTGACTTTTATATTCTTTTTTCATCTTTGGCTTCTGTTTATTGTGTAATATTAACATTGTAGGCATAAGGATAAAATAGATCTGATTAGATATAGCTTAGAATAAAATTTTTCTTTCATGCTTGAAACATACTCGAGTTATGTAGATTGTAACCAATTCCACATTTGCATTATACCTTTTGTCAGTTTCACAATATTGTACAAAAGACATTGCTAAGGTAGCGACTAACATTTCCTTCATTGGTTAGAATTTGTCATTGTCAGAATTTTCATCTGCATACAGCATATGCCAACAATCTGATAGCCTTTAAATTCTGATATTGGAAGAGTCTAAATTTAATTAAGTTATGGTAAAGCTGAAACATCCTCTTCCTTTCCTGAAAAAGTGCAGCTTAAGATCGAATGCAGACAAGATTCACCCAATCTGTACTTTGAGTGTGACTTTTTATTCCAGTAACAGTTATTGTAGGAAAATTAATTCCAATGTAATAAAGACTTTCAACAACAACCCTTGCTGAATGTAAAATCACCTTCTTCACTTCTAATTAGTTTCTGCAGTATTTTTCCAAATGACAAGTGTAACATTTAAATAAAATATGTACAAGTGACATGCTGTTCAAACTGCAAATATCATAATGCAACTCTTGAGAATAAAGAAGGAATTATACTTATCAGTAGCAACAGTGCTTAACCAAAGCTTATACTCTTGACAATCCCAGCTGAAACCATTCTATGAAAATTCTAAGTTAAAGTTTTGATGGATGCACAGTTAGAATGTATTAATTTTTAAGATATCTGGAAAACTACTGACAGAGAAAAAAATCTTTTGCATTTAGCAAGTTGAGAAATCTGGATGAGTTCCTGCAGTGCTGTGGAAAAATCAAGGACCAAAAAATCATCAGCAACAAAGGCTTTTTCAGCTAGAAAGAACTCAATGTTAAAGCAATGAAGATGAGAAAAGCTTCATGTGCTGAAGAAAAGGAACTCATAATTCTACTTGACTGCAAAAGAAATTACATACTAAAGACAAAGCTGCAGTACATAGTCTTGGTATAACAGCAAGCCAGATAAATATATTTGGCTCATGTGGAGGAATTAAAAGGGTTGAAGGGAATTGCATAAGGTCTCAGTAAGTGCTGCAGAAACAAGAAAAAAAACCTAGCTTAGAGAGGATGGTACAATTGTAAATGGGAGTGACTTAGATGTACTCCTTATCCAGGTGTTTAACAAGCTCAGATAGGGAAATGTGCAAAATATTTTAATTTTTATAGGGTGAGTTTTATGGGGAAAAGCTTTTGTATTTATTTTAAAGCAGACAGCACCATTACTGTGATTGTCAGAAAATTGCTTCCTAGATATCATACTATTTCAGGGAGGAGTTAAAAAAATATTGACTGATCAGACGAAGACAGAGCAAGAATTCTGAAGAAAGCGACTGCAGTATCAGAAGATCAAGTGAGCACTGCAAGCAAAATAAAATGGCTGTTCAGCTGTCCAAAATTATCCAATATCTGTTTGCTCTTTGTTCATCAGAGAAAACTGTTCTTCAGACCTTTGTGTGAAATATTGTGTCCAAATCTATTTAAAACTGTCCTTGTTTAACAAAAGGTCAGAGATCATTAATGAAACAGTTTTTTTGACATTATTAGTATTAATGAAAATACATTGAAAGGAGTTTTGGATGCCAAATAATTATTACAACAATGACTAAATATTTATCCACTGAGAAAAAAAAAAAAACGGCAATCAAAAAAACCAAATATGCATTAAATCTAAAATAAAGCTAATACAAAATCCTTTTACAACAAACTAATACAGGTATAGAGATAGCTATCACTGAACCATCTTGGTCCTTGCTGTGATAAAGATCTCCTTCTATTTCTTGCTTAATGACCTCATTCTGTCAATGAGTTCACTACTATGCACTGATATACATAATGTATTTTAATACATTATCATTAATAAAATCCTAATACAGTAATCAATAATACAGTAATATAACACAACATCATCCAGACTCTGCAATATGTAGGAAACAGAAAAAAAAAGGCTTTAAGGAAAATTTCTTAAGAGTAAATCACATGGGAAATTCCTCATAGCCAGCATATTACATCCAAAGTGCCTTTTTGCTTTTGTCAGGGTATGCCTAAGAGGGAGCAAACTGGCCTAGCCCAGGACCAGGACTACTCTTAACATCTGATCAGAGCAGACACACAGCTCCAGTGGACAGAAGCAATCCAGAGCCTGGCAATAATTTATTGGCTAGTACAGAGGTAGTCTGAACTCCCTGCTCTGACTGTGATTCTTCTTGAAACGTCAGCATTATAGTAAGTGATGCTACTCTGGCTTAGGATCCAATGATCACAGTGTCATTTTGTTTGGTTAAAGACAATCTGCAGTTTGGTTGTACCAAATAAACGATTTCTGATGCTATAAATTATTTCCATACTTTAGGTATTATTTTGATTTTATGTTTAACCTGAGTTTTCCTTAAAGATAATAAAATTTATTAATGATTGGAATACAAACCAAAAAATCACTGTCCAACGATTGTACATCAAATACATAAATCTTGCATGTTAAAGAAAGATTCATTTAAAATCAAGAGAGGCATCAGTTTATATTTTAACTGTTTCAAAACTTTGAAAAGAAGAAGAAACTCTTCTCTTAGACAAGAAAAGAGTCAAGAGGTACTACATAAGTTTATTTTTCTTTTTTTCCCCCCAAGGTCCTAAATGTTAAAAAAGAATATATTTTTCTTCAAAGGGCCATTGGTTTCCACTGACCCCTCACAAATGATCCTTTTCATGTTACTGATCTGTTAAGGACCACAGTACATTCTGTTTCATATATTTTCCTCAGGAATTGTAATCTTGTACTCTTTAAAAATTACTTCTTTAATGAGGCTATGCCAGTAGTAAAATCTTAATTGTTTTTCCTGAATTTCACATTCAGCATTAGATATAGCAATGACAGTTCACATCAAACCCAGTTCCAAAAGAGCTATCCTATTACACTGGAATGTACAATGCGTAGATCAGTACTTTGATCCACTATGCTTTTTCAACACACAACTTTCTTGTGGATAAGTCATGAGTAGTGCTGACAAAAGTACATTCTTCTTGTATGTTTATCCTCTTCTTATAACACTAGTCTTTTGGAATCAGGTTCGGATAATATATATTTTATTCCTTCATCCTTTCCCCCCTCCCCCCCGTCCCACTTTAAAAAGATCTTAAATATAAGAATTAAGATGAAAAATTCTTTATTAATTTTAGTTTTTGAAAATGCATATTAAAAATGTAAGCCCTTCTCTGTTTAGCAGTTCTATAGAATAGTTTTGCTGGTCTGGAGATTCACCGATTCTCCATACAGAAAAAAACTACATGTTTTTGTTTTCCAGAAAGCAGGTAATTAATAATCTTAGTTCTTGACTATTCTTCACCTCAGTGTGTTAACTCCTCCCCAGTTTTAAACCAGTTTTAAGCCAGTTTTAGTCCTTCTATAGCATTTCACACTGTTGTTTATCTTTAATGTAGATGGTTAAATGTAAATCAAAAAACTGCACAATTCTGAGTGTCATTTATATAATCTAAAAGTTTGGGCTTTTTATAATGACCCTATGTGCAGGCATATTTATTAGAATGACATCTCTTGAGCTTGTATATAATTGAATATCTCAGTATTTCCCTCTTTAAATGAATATTCTCTTTTTGTTCTGTGCCATCTACAGTAGGAAACGGATATCATCCAACATTTAATGTTTGTCTAAAGGTAGAAAAAATCTCATAAATTTAAAAGACTGAAGTATTTGTTTCCATTCAGCCTTACAACTGTGCTGAAATCTTTAATATCTTCCCCATTCTGCCAGATCCCAGGATTCTCCAAAGCAATTTTTTTTCTTAATGAAGGATTTACATACCCATTAATTCATATAGTTTTGTAGTGAAACCTTTATCTTCTCTGTGTCCCATTAATTGCTAGTATTGTTCTGGTACCATTTTTTCTAACATCACATTAATGTATGCATCTGTGCCCATACAAATACTGCATTTTATTTCAGACTGCTAGTTTATTTATCTTATGCAAAAATGCTGGGTATGGTTGTTGTGAATTAGTCTTCTGAGCTAATGGTCTTAGATCTTTTTTATTCTGTTTGCTACACTCTCATACATAACCACCACTACCCTTAGGCCATATCACACTGATCTCAGGAATGCTCTTTAGCCCTCAGCCTTGATTACAGGCAGTTCAGCTGCCCTTGACTTTATCAGAAACACTCTGCTGCCAAAACTTCTTCTTTTGCTGATACCTTCTTGGTGATTATTTAAGTGACCTAAAGTATTTGCAGCATGGCACTCACAAATTCTTGAAGAAAATCCCACAAATTATTGCAGTTCTCAATACCTTTCGTTTGGATCATGACATTGCCTTGTGTTGCATCATTTTCTTAATGTTACATGTTACATGTTACATGTTACATGTTACATGTTACCTGTGCTTTTTGGTGGTTGAATAATTGTAACTTGAATCGTTGCATATTGCCCTGCTTCAAAATTGTTTACTGTTTCTGTTTAGATTTTGAAGGAATATTTCCAGTGTCAGAAGACAGCCCATATTTCACAAGCTGTGAAAGCAAATAAGCAGTCTCTTATGTTAAGAACAAATGAGCTGGTTTTTGCAAGTTTGAGCAGGCTTACTCACTCTATGTTAGTCAAAAAATAGTTTAGTTGTAAGTGCTTTGTTTTTATCTTTCTTTTCACTACGTACTTAAAAACATCCTGTACGTGTCCTATTTCAGAATAAGTGAGGTTCTCCTCATTTGTATTTTAATTTTCTTTTCCTGACTTGCTGAAAGCTGCAGCAAACATCAAATACTTTGGAATAAGTTCATAAGATCTGCACTTTTAAATGTTTTGTAAAAATGAAATAATATTTAAGCTGCCTAAATATTTTTAAGCAGTTCCTTAAGAGATAGATGACTTTTCTTTCTCTCTCATGCAAATTATTTATTTTTAGTTTCCATGTTTTATTTCTGGTCTATCTTGTGGTCAGAAGTGACTCAAAAATAGTCTGTTCTAGAATGGTTTAAGACTAGCACAGTTTAAGACAAGTTTCACTATAACAAAACAGTTCTAAGTAGCTCTCACTGTAGTCTCCTAAACATTCAAATGATTCCCCACCATTTCCACAACAATTTGTTAATGAAAATTTATCATTTAGACTTCCATATCTGTCCATTCTCTTAAACTCTCTTAAAAGTGATCTTTCATCGTGTACAGTGTATTCACCTAACTGCATTTCTCTATACTCAAAAGGGGAAGCTTCTGTGTTCTACCTATTTTAAGATATAATTTATTTTTAAATTTTGCAAATGTCTCTTTAATATCTTTTCTAAATGAATAATAAATATAATTTTGATGCTTTGTATATATGACTGATTTAGTAAGCATAGAGTTTTTTGTCAAAATAAGAGAGGTGGAGTTGGAGCCTTCTACATAGTACTCCAAGGGACAAGAGACAGGATACACTATTCCCTACATTGATTACAGCTGATAATGTCTATTACTGCAATGAATTTTCAGTAATAATACAACTCTTATGTCTAAATTGCAGTGCGTGAGATATATCAAAATAACTTGATTTCCTCAAAACACTAGGTAAATATATTCTATATTTTCTTTAAGATATTTATTGCTTAGTGAGACTGTACTAGATTTCATTTACCTGTGCTTATATTCCTCAAACTCCTAGGAAAGCACAAATCATGCCACTTCTCCTAAGTATATTTTAATATACTTTAGTGGGTCTGTGTTGTTACCAAATTTCCTGCTAACAGAAATCACTCCAATCCTGCTACTGAAAATCTCTATAAAGTATAATTGTAACAAGTCTATCAGTTTATCTTTGTTGGGCAAGTAATCAAGGATGGCAGACTGTGGCAGTCCAAATTCAGCCCATTACAGCCATTCAACACCTTACTTCATGGCCAAAATAATAGAAAATGCAATAGTACAGCTGATAAGTGTTTATATATCAAAGCAGAAATAGTGAGGAAAACAGATTTGGGAAGTGCTTTCAAATTTTTTTAGGGAAACAGATATTATTCCTGTATTAATATTAAAGGTTTTATATGGTTTTGAACTGGCAAACTGAATCATTCAACACAAGAATAAGCAGGTTGCATTTGATATAGTTTTGCTTCACAGGTCACCACTTATATTAATTAATTTCAAAATTGAACATGTGAGGAGAAATATTGTGAAAAAAGACTGAAGTTTTCCCTTTGTGACCAAAAAAAAGGAAGAAAAATATTTGAATTAATTTTACAAAAAGAGACTATGACTGGTTTTCCAAAGTATTTGTATGCATATGTTTTACAAGGCAGTGCAGAACAATGACCAAGTTTAGGGACTCCTCACAGAATCCCAAAATGGTCGAGGTCAGAAGGGACCTCTGGAGGTCATTTGGTCTAACTGCCCTGCTCAAGGAGGGATACCTAGAGCTGGCTGGGAAGGTTTGTGTACAGACAGCCTTTGAATGTCTCCAAGGATGAAAACTCCACACCCTCCCTTTGCAGCCTGTGCCAGTGCTCAGTCACCCTAACAGTAAAAATTTGTGACATCCAGACAGGGTGACCTCTGTTTCAGTTTGTGCCCATTGGCTCTGGTACTGTCACTGAAAAGATGCAGGCTCTGTTATGCTCTGTGTTCTCTCAGGTATTTATACACATTGATAAGATTGCCCCTGAGTCTTCTCTTTTCTGTGGTAAATAGCTTTTCTTTTTCCACCTTTGTGGCTCTTCATTGGACTCTCTCCAGTATGTCCATGCTTCTCTCGTACAAGGGACGCCCAGAACTGGACACACCACTCCAGCTGTGGCTGAGTAGAGGAGGATTATCTTTGTCAACCTGCTGGTAATACTTTATATAATGAAGGCCAGGTGTACCAGTACCCCCAGGTCTTTTTTGCCAAGTGCCTTCCTAGATGGCTAGCTCCCATCAGATATTGACACCTTAGGTTTTTCCTCCTCAGGTTCAGAACTTTGCAATTCCCCTTGCTCACCTTCATGAGATTCTTTTCAGCCCATTTCTCCAGTGAATCCAGGCCCCTCTGGATGGCAGCATGACCCTCTGGGGTATCAATCAATCCAGAGATAGACATAACTAGGATGAAAAAATAAAACCCAGAATATTATCTGACACTTTATTCTGTTAATTTGGAAAATGCACATAGTCTTGTATAAAATAGATTAATTGGAAGAAAGAAGAAAAGGACATAGAAAAGAGACAGATATCATAAGGAATGGTGTTATATGAAGCAAACACATTGCATAAATAAGGGTTTTTATTAGATATGAAAAAACAGTGCAAGAAAATAGGTTCTCAAAGTGTTGAAAGAAAATTCCTTTGAGACAAGTCCAAAGAAAAAAAGAAGTCTGAGATCAGAAGCTAGGGTTCTTAGTGCTAACAATGATGAAGACTAAAACAATAAATGAATTAAAATGTTACAATTACAATACTGGCTGGAAGGTAGACAAGGAGTCAGATGAACTATTGAAGGACAAGAGTGAGATGTTAATGACAAATGAGGTTCATATTGCCAAGAGGCTGAATGAATCCTTTGCTAGTGTATGCATGAAAGAATTTGAAGGTCATATTCCACAGCCTGGGATAAATTTTCCTGGTGAAGCAAGTGAAATACTAAAAGGCTTTATGGTCACAATGAAGCAGGGAGTAAGGAAATTAGACCTATTAAAACTGACATAGTACCAGGCCAGGATAAATTACATCCTGAACATCTTCATGAAACTCTGTAACAAGCAGCAGGAGCATTTCTGGATTAGGTATTTGTCTGAATATGAGAAAGGAAAAGACCAAGCGATTCACCGCAAGCAGCTAATTTATCACTTAAGTAAAGGACGTAGATGTTACATAAGTACTACCAATCAAAGCTAAATATTAATTGATCTAATGTTCTGGAAACATTGATAGAAGAAATACTTAATCATAAGAAATTGCAACTTATAGAAATTTCTCAGTACAGCAATAAATATGTGGAAACAGAAAGGCATAACTATTATCTCTGGATGTTGTTTTAATCAGTGTTATTCTGAGAGATTGGGAAATAAATGGCTAACTTATTTGTCAAATATCAAAAAAATATGTATTTATACTTTGGTCTGTTCAGTGAAAAGGCTACTTTAATCAGTCTAATTAAGTGGCCACTGGAATATCAGTTGCAGCAATAAAGGCAGACAGATATACTGACCAAAGTACTGACTGTACTTTGTTTTGTACAACCAAATTCAGAGGTGAGTTCTGGGTTGAATTAATCTTGTTAAGGTTCTGAGCCACAGACCTTATTATTAAGACATTTGATTTAATAGGGTAGGTGTGTGGTCTTTTGTGTGTGTGCAAATGTAGGTACATGATCTGTGTGCATAATATGTGTAACAATTTGCATTTATTCTTTTAAGTTTCATACATACATTCTTGATAAATTGTTATATTTTATGTTTTTCTAATGACGTACATTTATTCAATGATTAATGTAAGTGCTAAGAAAGTTTTCAGCAGTAGAGCCCCTCTAGAACTTTCCGACCATGACATCATTAGGTTGATAGTATTAGCATCAGTGGCATGATATGTATGGAAATTATCAGGTACACAGGAGAAGGACACTTGTGATAAACTATTCCGTTTTACTTGTCAATGGGCACACTGTATGGCAGAAGAATTTAAAGATCTAGAAACCAGCGTTTCATGACTATGATGAAGTATCATGCAGGGTGATGAAACATAGCAGATTCCAAACATTTCTGAAAGACTAGCAAGGCATGGGAAGTCAGGAAGAAGGAAGAAGAAAAGAAGGAAGAAAGCAAGCAATCAGGAGGTGATTCAAAACCAGATGCAATGGTAAGATGTTGGTCAAATACAAAAGCCTGAAATTTGGATACAGGTTAGGATTGGGACTGTCTTTTGTGTTACTGAGGTTACATGGATTGATTGTGGAGGAAGGTTTATATCTATGTAAAATAGCATTTGTGACAAAATATTAACATATTTATTTAAAGATATTTTAGGTAGAGAAGATAGAGATAATGATTTTTTAAATTCTGGATGTGCCAAAAGTCATATTAAAAAAGAGCCTGTAAGATGTAGCACTAAGAATGCTAATGAACAATGAACAGACAAGACGCCCAACAAGATTTCCAGCCAATTATAAAGGAAATAGGTAGAAATGCAATAGGGAGAAAAATTTAGAGAAAAATCAGTGAAGGCTCCTTTGTACATTTCTGACCTTTAATTCTGTTCCTGGAGATGATTTGCAGCCTAAATAATTAACGTGAAACATCTCAGTTTATGAGTCAGCTCCATCTATTGAATAGCCATAATCTTAAACCATTTCCAGATTTCAGGCCAGTACAATGTGGTCATCCCAATAATAAATATGTAATTAGTAAGTATCTCCACATTTAGGTGATGAAAGATGCTTCAGGTGTAAAAAGTGAAGACTAGTTTAAAGATGAAGCAAAGATCAGGCTCATCTTAGAAACAGAAAGCTAGACTGAGTCAGCCTTCGGCTAGTGTAGACAGAGTAGAGTAGAAATGAGAAATAGATGGGTGCTTAAAATCTAAGCTGCCTGAGAGAAAGAAACTAACCTTTAAAAAGATCTCATTCCCATTTTCTTCATATAAACCAGCCTGGAGATGCATGTTATATGTCCCTGGTAACTTTTTCATTTTATACTCAATTATCTAGAAGTGCTTGATTTCTTTCAAATTGAAAACCCCAAACTATTACTTTTGAAAAAAAAAAAAATTGTAATATCAAAACAAAAGCACAAAACCACCATGTGACACATCAGTTGCAATTTGTGTTTCCCTTTGTTGTGTAAAAATGAGTAATTGAATATTTGCTTGTTAATTGCATTGTGTGCTGAGAATGTTCTTGGTACATTCTTGTAGAATTATGTTTCTAAGTTACTTTTATTTACTAGTACAGCTATATTGTTGATGCATTTGAGCACAAGTTCAAGCCAACAACACATATTCATAGCAAGACTCACAATAAAGCTGAGGAGATTTTTAAATGTTGCAACCTCTCTTTTTTTTTAAAACATTTCATTATCATAAAAATTTTTATCATTCAATTAGCTACTAAAATATATTTTCTCAGATGACAACATATTTATATTAAGTTCTGAAAAATAATTAAATCTATTTAATTGTTTTAAATGTAACCCATTTTAATTGTTTTTCACAATATTTCAGTAGGGGTGTTTTGCATAATTATTTCTCCTATTGACTAAAGTCTAAAGAATCCTTTTTTGAAATTTCTACTATTAACAGAAAAATATGTGTTGTGATGATGCATTGAAAAAAGAGAAAAAAGAAACAAGGTGTTGCTTCAACCTGAAATAGTAGAGTTTCATTTTAAGAAATGATAGAGCCATTATTTGAAAGCCTCAGTTAAAGCTAATTAGACAGAAACTGAACCACACAATTTTTCCTGTTTATGCCATCGTATTATTTTCTTTTTCTTAAAGTAAAACTTGAATTACTCTGGAAATTATCTTTTTCGATCACAGAAGCCTTGAGCTGTAACACAACTTGCTGCATTGTGTTGAGTTTGTTCAATTTTTTAAGTGGTTTAGTCTTGCACCCCCATGTAAGTGGTCCTGCTCTCCCTTGCCTCCTCCTATCCCTATGTCAATCCTCCTTTCTCTCCTACACTGAAATGCAGCCCTTCTGAGGACCCCGCCCCTGGACCTGGCCATCACTTGGCAGCCCTTTCTTTCTTTCTGGAAGGTTCCACCTGGAACATCGAGTGATAGTCTGAACAGCCAGGTCTCCTCCTACCCCCTTTCCCCGTTGGTGTTCCTTCATGTTTGTCACCCTGATTTCCACACCCCTGTTTGATATCATTGGCCCACTGTAGGGCCATCCCCTGGTTACCACCCACTGCTATAAGCCTGTGCAAGAGGCTGCACGCGGCTCTTGCAGGCTGTTTACCCTGTGACCGAGGTAGCTCTTTTGAGCTGCCAAATAAAGTTGGATTACAAACCCCTGCAGGAGACGACTCCTTGCCTTTGTCATCATCGCCAAGGTCTCCCTGGGGCTCAGGAATTCCGAACCCAAAGCCGCCGTCCTTACCTCCTGAGGTTTGGGAAGGTGGCCAATGCTGACCTCGGTGTCCAGCTGAGCTGGGCAAGCATTTCCAGGACAGACGCCATGGCAGCAACAGAATTTTCCTTAATATAAAAGTTTTGGATTAGCGGCCATTTCAATATCACTAGATGTCTGACAAGAGTTTATTTTTAAACATGTGCATAATGTGTTAGGCTGAAAATTAAAGGCTTCTAATAAAATTGAATGTTGATTTACTTTAAGAGATTCTGAATTAACTCATTTGTGCTTAAAGACATATCTGTTTGTATTTAAAGACCTGTAGAACTTTGCAGAGCATCCTGTAGCTACAATATGGAGAGCTCTAAATTGCCTATAAAATTAGTTAATGAAAAAAGTAAGGGCATACATGAATATGTAGCATTTAAATGACAATATTTAAACAAACCATGGCATATGTCTTCAAAATTTATCGTCCTGTGCGTTTTACTTACAGTAGTAGAAGTCAGAAAAATGTGAACATAGTGAAGATTAAAGTTAAATATATATTAATGTATTCCTTCAGAAAGTACCTAGGTTTTAAAATCTTTTTTCCTTCTGGTCCAGCCTGTGAAAACTTGGGTCAGTTCTCATGTATTGAGATAAGCTAATTTACTCTTTACAAAAACACCAGTCTCAAATATTTTAAAAAACTGCTTCTGGAAGTAGCAATGCAAGAACTTTTTGAACCAAACATATTAGTCAGCTAGTGAAAAATGTAGAAATAACTTTATTGCACTACAATAGCTTTCTGTTCTGCTCAATTTTCAGGTTTTATTCCCATCCCCTTTGGTTCTTTGTATTGGCTAATACATTTTCTGAGAATTTCCTTATTTAAAACAAATTTTTTATCCAGACCCCGTTTAGAATAGTGTTCTTGTCATAAACTGATTCACAATTACAATACAACTCTCATCATCATTCTGTCTTGTTTTAGTGTGATGAACCTATTTTTGTTGTGGTTACCTTGTCATTCTTCCAAAGTCTGATTCCTTTAATTCTATGTGGAAAAAATGTTTATAGTGATGTATCAGCATGATACATTTTTTATTATGTATGACTCTAAAACTTATTCTTTGACCCCTTATGTTCTGAGAGAAGAAAGAAATCCTTCATAACCCTAATGAATTTAGGAAGAATGGAGGACTAAATCTTATGGTAAAGTCTGTTCCTTAAATTGCATGTACAGTCTCCTATATATATCCATTCTTCTTTGTCATCCTTACCAGAGAAGAGGTCCTACAGACATTGCAAAAACCAAACAGAAAACTCAAGCTTTTATGAAAGCAAATATCTTAGTAGAATCTGAAAAAATTCCCACCAATCATTGCACAGAAGTAGCAGACACCTGTAATACACTTTGAAATGTAGGTATAATTTATGATTTGAAATAGTGGTTCATGCTGAGGGGCAAGAATTCACTGAACCACAGATTCCTTTTCCAAAATAGAGTTTGTTTGTACCTGCTTTATCAGCAGAGGTTTTAATCTTCTCTAAAATTGTGCAGTCCTCTCCACAATGGCAGAAATCGTGTCCTCTTCTGTCTAGGGATAACTTTACAAGGTCTGGTCCTGTTCAATCAGTAGCATTATGGCAATATGGAAGAAGAGAATCTCCTGCTTTGTGATTAATAATAGAGGAAGCAAAAAAAAGATATCTGCTCTCAAGAAACCATGGATGTTTTGAAGCAGTAGAAAGAAAATATGCAGAAAGGTACAGAAGCAGTAGAAAGAAAAGATGCTACCTGATACTGGGTTCAGGGTGTGCTGAAGGTTTTCAGTCCTTAGTGTGCATAAATCCGTCAGGCTGTGGAGCACTTTCTGTCAAGCATTTCTTGTATATTCACATCAGCTATGTCACTGTCAGCAGAAAAGAAAATGCAAAAGTGCAGTTCAGGTGAAATCAACATATTTTACTTGGTCTTGTATTAAAACTGTGAGATTTAGACTGCTTTAGAAAAAGGTCAAAAAGCATCACTATTTGAAGAAACAACACGTGGGCAATCTGGAGGTATGAATGATTGAAGAAATTAAGACTTCACTAAATAGTATTTTAAAAGCAAAGAATTTTTGAAGAAAAATCTATAAGGATTTAAATATATATAATTAAAGATTTAGGAAAAAGAAACAGAAAAGAATTCCAGAATAATTTATTTGAAACAGCTCACTATGTGAAATGTTCACTTGTGACTTGTTTAATGTTCCATCTATACCTTGTATATCCCTATGGTATGCAAAGGATTAAAACAACAGAGAAGAAAAGGTAAAGTTTATCCCAGGTTTTTGCAGTGGGTTGATCCTGGCTGGATGCCAGACACCCACCAAAGCCTCTCAATCATTTCCCTCGTCAACTGGACATGGAGAAAATATAGAAAAAGCTCAAGAGTTAAGGATCATGTGAGAGATCACTCACTGAATACCATCATGGGAAAAACAAATTTGAATTGGGGAAATTACCTGAATCAAAATCTGAGCAAGATAACTGAAACAAAATCTTAAAAACTCATTATTCCCACCTCTCCCTGGTTTCTACCTCCCCCCAGCAGCACAGGGAGACTGGGAATGGGGTCAGTTCATCACTGACAGGTTGTCTCTGCTGCTGCTGTCTCCTTCTTTCATTTCAGGTTTTAATAGTTGTGGTAAATGCATAATTTTTAAAATGTAGACTTGACTGAGTTAATTTCAGATTGTGTCATCTATCTTTTAAAAAGATTGAAATAGCTGGAAATATTTAATGATTATATTTTATACCTTTCTTTCCTTGAATATTCATCTGAAAAAAACAATACCTACAAATATGTTATATCTTGTCACAAAGGTAATTCCACAAAACTGGAACACTGCAACATAAAAGAAAGAACTAGATTTATATCACTGCTTAAGAAAACACTTTTCTACTTAATGGCTCCAAGCAATTTCTCTTTTTCAAGGAAGTTTGTAGTAATACATATACACATTTAAAAATTCTCTATAGTCCAGGGGACAAAAAAAAAAAAAAGCTGAGAAAAGTAAGCCTAAGAGGCTATGCTGATGTTATTTTTATTGTTATATGTTCAAGAAGGTGTTTTCTGTCCTTTAATAACATTCTGCATTTATGGATTTAGTTCCTATTATCTACATCTACTGACAGAAAATCCAGAGTATTTTTATTTTTTAAGCTTTATAATACCTGGGAAAGAAATAAACTGAAAGAATGGGAGACAAAAAGAATGTCTATTAAAATATTTGACTGCAATCTTTTATGAAGAGATGTGAATTTTCACTAGTTCAAACACAATGTTCATGCCTTGCACCATCAGAGTTAAAAGGAATTAAGCATTCAGAGGAAAAGAAAGATTTTATTTTGGCAAGGCTGTTGAGGTTTTTAATTTCTTTTATAAAGTGTGAGTGCCCTGAAACTACTCATTTGGACTCACAGAGAAGATAGAGCACCTTTACAGTGGAAGTTATGTGATTCTAGTGATCTGTGTGACCAACAGCCTCCCTCACTGTATCTGTCTCTTTGTATCTCTTAAGCAATCCCTATTTTCTCTGTCTTTCAAACAGCATTAAAAGATAACCTTTTTATTCATTGACATTACTGCTAGTGATGAAGTTACAGGTTTGAGAGTCCCACTGACTGGTCAAGTATTCATTTGAAAAGAGTCTGAAATTCTAGTTAGTACGTCAACTCTTTATGTTATTCTGTAAGACTGTGGTCAATTGATTGAAAGTAGATCAATAAAGGTCTGTGGAATTTCAAAGAGTTTGCAAGGAAGCAAACTAATTGTGTAGAACTGCTTCATTAAAAAAAAATTACTGAGTGATAGCATACCTCTTTCTAGGTACAACTCACCAAGATAAAGGAATTCTTATGATATAGATAGCAAAATATTACAGAAAAGTAACCTGTTCTTGTACAGTGCAATCAACAGATATATGTATCTTAAACTTACTCTTATTCTGTACTTTTTACATTCACTAAGGCTCTGCAAAATTCCTAAAATAAAAGCCAGTAGTTAGAGATCTATGTTGAGGTTCTTCCCTCCCACACAAAAGAGCATTTCCTATTATTTTACTGACTTGAAGTACTTGTCCTGGAAGTACTATAAAACATTTTACCAAAAACATAGGTTTTTCAGGGCTGTAAATGAATTTAATGTCCTTTTTAGCCTAAAATCTTAGAGAGAACACAGGCATGGAGAGACAAAGTCATGAGAAAATAATCTAATCCTCCTCAGCTCATTCAATGAAACTGAAGCAGAAAGATAAAATGATCTAGTTAAGCATTTTGCCTTGAACTTCACTGGGGAGAAACAACCAACCAAAATAAACAGGCCTTTCTGGATCCATAATCTGACCTGGATCCACCTATCTAGAAGAGGAAGGAGCGTTTTAGCTGGCAGATTGGCTTACTTAGTGATTCACACCTTAAACTAACAAGGATAATCTCTTAATTCATGTGGTACAGCCTGATCAGAAAAATATTGTTAGCTCTGTGCTTGCCAATTTTCAAGAAGTAATTACAGAGGTTAAGACTGATGGCAATGTGGCCTGCAGTGATCATGCCCTGACCGTAAAAATGGTCAGAGAACTGGAAAAGTTCTCCTAAGAAAACTCAAAGGAGTTGAAGTTTTTCTTAACTGGAGAGGAGAAGGGTTTGGGAATATTTCATTGCAGCCTTTCAGTATATAAAGGGAGCTTAAAAAGATGGAGAGAGAACATTTTTACCAAGCCCTGTAGTGACAGGATAAGGGAAAAGAGTATTAAACTGAAAGGGGTTGGAGATAAGGAAGAAATGTTTTACAGTGAGGGTGGTGAGACATTGGAACACATTGTTCAGGAAAGTTTGGGATGTTCCATCATGTTCATCCCACGGGGTTTCAGTGATCCAGAGTTTCAGGATCCAGCTTTCCAGTTACACAGTGGTTTCCTGCTTCTTGTGTTGGCAGCAATCATGCAACTTTAAAGAAACTGATTACACATAAATGCAACCATACATATAAAGCTATAGGACTAGAGATCAACATTTTCCCTGATCCAGACTTCTCTATCAAAATCCAGTCTGAATAGAGACGACTTGATATCTACAAATTCCATATGACCCTCTAGCTAGAGACCATCCTGCACTAAGATATTTCAGTCTTCTTTTTCGAAGTGTTAACTATTTTACTGGTGAAGAAAACAATCAAATTATTTTGGAATGGAAAGAGAAGCAATAAATGATATGATGTAACATAATAATTTATATACTGGTCTTGTATCCAAGTCACTCTCCTAGATGCATAAAATAATAGAATACTTTGTGTTGGAAGGAAGATCAAGATCACTTAGTTCCAGAGACACATATCACTAGAACAGGTTGCTCAACACCACATCCAACCTGGCCTTAAACACTTCCAGGGATGGGACATCAACAGCTTCTCTGGTCAACAATTTGTAAGTGATATACAAAAACAGCACTCATAATGCAAGGAAAATTATTCTGGACTTCCCTCTCCAACTGCTTGAGCTATACATTTTCTAGAAATCTTATTTCCCTTTTCTGGTCTAATTTACTTTATTTTCTCTTACTTTGTGAAGATGATGTGATTGATACCTGTGATATCATCATATGAAATATCTTAGTGGTTAGGACATTTTCTAGGGAAAAAACACTTTACATAAAGAGTATGTGCAAAATTATGTCTAAATATTAAAAATATTTTTGTTTTCTGGGAACATTGTGAGGAAACAAAAATCACCTCAGAAAATGTTCCAAGGAAATTAATAAAAGTAACCGCAAACAAGGTATATTTTTGTGGTTTTTAACTGAAAAAAAAAAAAAAGCAAAAAAAAAAGAGTGTTTTACAATGTCTCTAAACTCTTCTCATAACTCTGAAAATATTACTTTTGTTGAAAATCCCTTCTCTATTTCATTTTTTCTGTCATAACATCTAATATTTTATAAAATTTTGAAGATGTATTGTCTGTGTAACTGTATGGTACATTTTCCAAAATGCAAAGTAGATCACTGTACCATATAGCTGAATTGAAGGATTCAGATTAGAATCAGATAAAATGCACTTACTTGAACAAGCTAGTAATTACACTGAATCATGTAATGTGTCTCTAGAGCTACTCTATTCTAGTTTGCTTAAAGAGCAGCTGACTCCGAAAGCACTGTTTACAAGCTATTCTGTTCCCATATTATATATTTTTCAATATTTATCTTCCATTGTTCCTTACTACTAGGAGCATTTGCATGAAAACAGGATCTTTGTTTTTTGGGAGTGCATCTGCTACTGCTGCTGATTCTCAGCCTGAAGTCATAATCCAATGTTTGAGACATCAGCCTTACATTTAAAGGAACCAGATGAATTGTCATTATAAAAAAAGTGCAAAAACACCCTCAGATTCTGTCTTCAGATGTAGTTTAAAAGGAGAACTCTCAACCATGAAACCTATTTCCTTACAAGTGCACATAATGATGCACAGCTAGGAAAACAGTAAGAATCAGCAGCTTCGTTGAAAGGTATGAATGTACTCCAGGGAGTTAGGGAACTAGACTGCAGAAAGTGGTTTTGCTATGGTAATACCACCTATGCCTCTTAAGTTTTCTAATGTCTTCAAATCCTATGCTGATTTTACCTTAATATGTGAATTTCTTACTCAGACAAATTCTCATTTACCATGCAGGATACCAGCACAGATAGTGTCATGACTCTGAGAGGACTAGAGAATTTGAAATCCAGAAAAGGTGCTTTCAAAAACCCGATATTTTTACAGTTGGCTTTGACAGAACATAGATTTATATTTGGATTCAGAGTGTTTCTGATTGTGACTAATAGACTGGAAATACTATTACAGATGCTGAAAGAAACATTTGAATAAAAATGCGTGGGGTTTCTTTAATATTAAAAAAAAAAAAGATAAAAGAAAAATAATTGTAAGTGTTTATGTTATTTAAACTCTCTCTCTACTTGACACCAAGGGCTGGTACCTGCTAAGGACAATTTGACATTACTACAGCTTCTCTGTCTCTTATCAATTCTCACAGAAACATAGGTAATTAGCTTAGGGAACTTAGCTTTTTATTAACTGATGTCTGGTGAGGGAAGTCACATCCCAAGTAATAAACACAAGATGCAGCCTTGGAAATAGAACTGTTTTCCATATTTTCATGATACCATCAAAAGAGCTGTGTGTGAATATATTTTGTGGGCCAAGAGATTACAGCTGTACATACATAAGTCTAGAGAGAATGCAAATATGTGGGTAAATACATAAATAATATTAGGCAGAAGGCTAATAAATTGATGATTTCTTTGTCATTGCTGTTTTCCATGCATTTATATTGAGGAGGAGCTGAACATTCAAAACCCTAAAATATTTAGTCTGAAATTATTTAAATTTTATTACGATGGCAGGGTGTCTCAAACAATAGCAATTGGATTTCTTCCTGTCTATATCACTTGGTTTCCATTCTCCAGTTAGATTAAATTTTCAGGTGGATTAAGAGAATGAAACATGGCCCATTATTATTGTAGTTTCAAACTTGTCTACATTGGTCAGAGCAAATATATTCCAGCTAGCAAATGTGCAGGGAAAACCAGCCTGGGAGATAGTATGAGGTTTTAAATTGAAAAACCATACTAGTTATTCAGAAAGCATTTCTAAAACTATATTCTGTGACTTAGAACAAATTGCAATTCTGCTGAGATTTTCTTTCAATCATGGTTGACTTTACCAAACTAAAATTTAAGTCTGCATTCAGGCAGAGTGTTTTGGTTTCATAACCATCTATAATTTCACTGCTGTTGACTCGTCTGAACAAGGATTGTAAAGAGGAACCTAAAGCTGCTATCATCTGTCTTCATTTCATCCTTTGTCTTTTGCATTTCAGCTATGTTCATCCTCCTTTCTTCTCTCTTCTAACTTGGTTTGCCTTATTTCTCAGCAATGTGATATTACTTGCAATTTGGGGATGCAGTTCCAAGGGATTTTCCTGCTGGCATTTAAAAAAGCAAGAAGGAAGGAACTAGTGAAATGTATGAAAACCTGAGAGACACTTTAGTGTACTGTAGAGAATTTATGTGGACTTTCTGTTACTGAGTGACTGCATTAAATGTTTGACACGTACTTGTTTGGGAAAAAAACAAAGCTAACAGCCTTTGTCATATATCAAAAGCCTTTCTATATCAAACTTAAATTATACCCTCTATAGTATATGGTCTGGCAGTGCCCTGTAATTTCATTTATAAAAGAAACATCTCTAGGCTTAAAAATAACAATTTCTACACCAGCCCTTCATGTAAATGTCAGAGATGGATTTCTATCAGTGTTCCAAATACTTAGATATGTATTAGTATATATCGTTGAAAACAAAGAAACAGCAGCTCAATCAATTCTCAATTTGTTATTGCTTATGTGTCTTGCTTAGGACATTGCTTTTTGTTCAGATTTTATTTTTCTTCAGGTACAGGAACTAATAAATTTTGTCTTTAATTTCAGGTTTAGAACTGACAGCTCCATCAAACGGATTTTCTAAGAGAGATTAATGACTTTCATGAATACACAGTGGACATCCAAACTGCTTTATTAGTTCTCTTTTTCTTTATCTAATAACTAATGGATATTTTCTTTCATATGCTAATTAAAAATTATTTTTTATCCACTGTGTTACCAGTTTTCAAGCAACCTGAGTTTTGAGTTTATCTTAAAGATCACTTTGTTGGGGTTTTATATAAGATCCTAGTCAATTATACTTTGCTTTCTAGAGCAAATTTCTTATGGTCCAGTATTAAAACACATACTTATAATAGATAGACTATAATTTCCTTCTTACATGTAAGCTGAAAACAGGTTCAATTACTAAGTCTGGGTTTGGGCTTGTAAGGTTGAGTCTTCCAATTAATTTACAGCATTTTGGTAGCACTAACTTAACACAGTTTACAAGCAGTCTCAAATATCTCAATTAGGTTGGTGAGGATGTTTTATATTCTCAGAAATGTCTTTTCTTCCTGGATTTCCAACAATGCATTTAAAAATATCTAATTAAATGATACATAAGAATAATTTACTTTCTGATTTATTTTTACATAATAAAACAGTATGACTTTAATAGAATTTTATACTTACATATGTTGACATAATTAGAATTTATATTTTGAAAAATAAATACAATGGAATTATGTATTATTTAATAGAAAATATATTTAATATTTTGCAAAATGTTATATTTTAATTAAATATTTTTAAAAATATTTCATGAAATAAATGTTGCAATTACAAACATATTACATGAGCTTTTGAGAAACAATTCTGTATAAATAGTTTTCCTCCAAACTCTTCCATCACTCATTTTTCCTCATCCTATTTTTGTATTTTTCCAATACAAAGTGAAAGTGCTTTCAGTTCTACCAATATTTGCCAATCATATGATCCATTTAAGCTTCATAGTACTGTGTCAGGGTTATCTCAAGTCCAACATCAGAATTCACATTTCTCTCTTAAAACTCTTAATTTCTTGTACTTTTCATATATATCTGAGACAGAACAAAAATATGTTTGTGGGATCAAAGTGAAAATTAATTTAAATTTAAGCAAGGTTTAACTGATCTACAGCATGCTTCAAAGATGTTTGCTGGATATCAATACTTGCTGGCAGTGTGGACAGGAAGGTGATAATTTAGCACATAACTGGCATTGTCTTTCTATTTAAAATGTTAGAAATTCTATGATATATTAAGTCATCACATGACATATCCATCTTTGCTGTATTTAGCCTAAATTCATGTGAATGTAGTCTTCTAGTAAATAGACTGCAATTGCCCTCAGTTATGCAAAGCTTTGAGTCATTTGAATGCAAGTGCAATCATATTTCTCTAAAAGAATTGAATATTGACATATTCTATACCGTCTAATTTATAAAATTTAATTTAAGACTAGAGGATATGGAGAAAACTAGTTGCTCGTTTGCTTATTCTGGTTAAGAATTTAAAAGAAACATAATTGAAACAGAATTTGAATGCGAATTGCACACAGACTTGTTAATGAGGGGCTGCAGGACTAGGAAGCCTTGTTGGCTTGAATTTGAGTCACTTCTCTGAGTTTTAACCTGTTCTTGTACACATTTTCTATAGCTGTTTGGCTTTTTAAACTAGGCCTAAACCCAAACTTTTGAGACTCACACTGAATGACACCTTACAGCATAGTTCGTCTCATTGACATGAACCTGAATAAATTAACTGTAGAAAGGCAACAGAACCTTGTATGAGTTGTCAGTTTTCATAATCTTCTTTTCCCTTCAGTCATTAAAGCTAGTAGTGGTCTAACAGAAGACTCAAAACTCCTGACATCAGGAATGGCTTCAAGCATCAGCACTTCATGATTCCCCAGTACAACCTTTTATACCCTGTCTCTCATATGCAGCACACCTGTGTGCCCTTTTACTCTTTTGTGATTGGTCAATGCACCTCAGCATTCCGGGCTTCTTTTCCTTTAATGATGGTCACCTGTTTTACACAGCTCACCCTATTAAGGACGAGGCTTGGCTGCAGCCCCATTCCTAATGTCCCATAATTTATTCTTCTGCAATGGTCAGTTCCTTAAATAGAAACAAACAAATGTAGATAATCAGCAAATTTCTTAGATAACCACAAACTGAATTTTCTTATTTCATGTATGCATTTTTTTCCTTTGAATATTTTTTATGTGTATGTTTGTATGAAGCAGTTAGAATAGTCTTGAAATAAATTTTTATACAATGAACAACATCAGGTGAATATAGTAATATCTATTCTCTTAGTTTCTTAATTTTGTATATTACTTGAGTAATGACTATCCAATAATCATTTCAGGTTCTCATTCACATAGTTATAGTTGTAACTATCTGAAAAAATCTCTTACACATGTTGACAGTGCATGTAAATTATTTTTTACCTACCTTGATCAGAGTTACAAAACCAGACTCTATGAGAAATGAATAAACAAATTATTTCTTTATCTTCTTAAGTAATTGCCTAGTTTCCTTATTTTCTGTAGTTTTTGATGACCGGGTGCAGGGAGGGGGTGGGGGGGGGGTGCTGCCATCTCTTATAACAAATGCATCATCCATAATAACATCCTTTGTTTTTTCATCTATTGTCTTTTCATCTGTCTACATCTGTAGTTTCGAGGACCTTGGAGATGGAGGAAGTTTTTTTCTGTCTTCATATGACGGATACAAGTCCCACTCATATTTCAGCCTTGTCCATCTAACATACCTGCCACCCCTAATTTTTGCTCAACAGACCATTATAGCTCTGGCTGTAGCTGGAATAGAGTGCTTCAGCATGATTAACATTTTAACTCATATACAGACACTTGGCTTTACTGTCCAGAAGGAATATGTACCATCTCGCTCTCTAAGCACGTGTGTCTCTATATGTACAGAAAGCATTTTGAGACCAGTCTCTTGCTGAGCTAATAGCTAAAAACATGATCATTAAATGCATGGGTCCTGAAGTAAAATGCTTTAGCCCACTCCTAAGTCAGCTCATCTTCCAGTAGCTTGATTGAGCCTTTGTGAACAGTTTTCTAAAGCCAGGGAATCTCAGAAAAACGGAAAGCTGGACAAGACAAACGCAGGTTCAAACCAATGTGGTTCATCAAGCGTTTTCCGTTTATTCAAGATAAGGTGGTAGTTTATATAAGCTTCCACATAGTTTACAGAAACAAAGATACTCTAATTGGTAGGCTAACATTGTTTACCTTTTCCTTAAAACGGCCTACACTTTACACCATAAAACCTATACTAATTCACACCCAGACAACCCAGTGGTCCCCACAACACCTTAAGACTATTTTTTATCTGCGCCACAAGCTCTGAATTTCTAACTGCGTCAGAGGCTTTGAAGGCCTCAAGGCCCAAATCTGAGGCCTAGACTGGAGTAGCTCAAATTTCATAATTCATGTCCTCTTTCTCTCAAAAATGCTGCAACAGTTTTCTATCTGCTGAGTAGTCTCTTAATGCACGTTTGGCTTTCACAATGCTGTGGACTCTGTTTTACTACAATTTATCTTGCACTGTCTTGAATGGACAAGAAAAGTTGTCAGACTCCCTGTTTAGAAGAAAATTACTGCTGAAGGACATATCTCAAATTAGATCACAACTCACAACTGAGCTATTACAACTGGAAAGCCTCTTCCTTTTGTGTATTTGCTGGCACAAGAACTTTGTCATTGCAAACAGTAATTCTGTGGTCACCAGTCTAAAAGGTCAGTTATTCATTTTACTTGTACTTGTGCAAATGTGGAAAGAGATGCTGAACATACGTACCTTGCATGAATTCTGATGTAACATTGTAAAATTTGTGCAAACTTTTTTTTATAATGAACACATGAGTTACTAAAAAATTTGAGTTTAAAAAAATCCAAGAAGTGATCATGATGTTTTAACACTTGAAGGAAATTTCAATCCCAGTTTAGATTCCATTGTGTTAGATGCTTTACAATCCTTATGTCCTTAAGTTTAAAAAAGCCCTCGGAATCTTTAGATGTGACTGACCAGGCAACACATATATTTATGTATATATACATATTTCTCTCTAAATATACATGTCTTATATAGATACAGATATATATCATATTATACTAAAGGATACAGCTGATCATACAAATATTTTCATTTTTCTTCTTTAGATGTCAAAAATTGTAGTGTCTGAATTTCATGACGATCAAACTAGTAAAAGCTAGTAAAGACTCAGCACTGCTGACTGAGGTCATGTTTCCTAAAGAATCAGCACCCCTTTGGCACTCAAATTAATTGGCCAGATTGCCAAAAGAGATTGAGTTACAAAAGTGTATTATAAGTGTTATGTTTGGAGCTATTGAGTTTGCTCTTTTTTTTTTTTTTTTTGCCCTTAGAAGAAAAAATATTATTTTAAAGTAATTATTTCCAGTTTTAGAGGAAGAGTACTTAAAAATCTGGCCTTGAGGTCTTCTCAAAATCTGGCTGTACTTATGAAGTTGAAACAACATTCTCAATCATAGCTACTCAAAATGTCAGGAATATTCTGAATAGGACTGAGTTTTATAAATGTGTCAATCAAGCCTATCACTAAATAAAATGTCAGATGTTGAGTTTGTCTATTTATTGCCAATAAAGTTTGAATTTTAGCTTTGACAATATGCCTGAGAAATTATAATTTTCCATCTTCCTGTTAACTCTTAAAGCAGACTTGAAAAGTATTGTCATGGTTTGTACTTTTGAATAAAGCAATTTTCCCCATTTAAAGTGAGGTGATAGTTCTGAATACTACAGAAAAAGAAAAGTACAATGAACAACTTTTCTTGAATCCACAGTACTATGTATCATGGCAGGAGAAAAAAAGGATGAAGCTAAAACCATTCTTTAAAGTGGACCTGAGCTAGCAAAAATAATTGTAATTGTAATCTTTTCCATTTGAAAGGTTATTTATTTAAATTCTCAGGAGTTTCATGAAAACATTTGAATATATCTTTCTTTTTTTAAAGCTCTTCAATATTTCAAATTAAATGTGAGCTCATACCGGCAAGCAATGGTGTTATGGTCCAGGCTCTCACTTGAAAGGCCTTATCTGTCTGTTTCCTGTACCATACATGTCTGAAAATCTTTTTCTTCAGCCAAGATGCTCAAACCAATGGACATGATTATTAATTATAACTCATTATTCCTATACAGAATAGTGTGATTAGACTTTTCATATAGACAGATGATGCATCTTATAGGATACTAACTTATAGAGATATTCTTATTATAAAAAAAAGCATAAAGACATTACATTACAGATAACTTTATTTTGTGACATCTCTGCTGTTTCAATATTTCACATTATTAACTCTTTCTATAAGTTATTCTGACCTCTTTTTTTTTTACTGCATTTTCTCTAAATTCTTTAATCTTTTGATATTGTGGTGACTATTAACAATTTTGGTTACAAAACTTGGAGCTTTTGTTTAGTGTATGAAATTAAACTTCACTAGCAGAATAATATAGCTATGGAATATATAACGGTTTGTCAGTGCATCCAAACTTAATGCTTCTGTTTTTTCAACAGTGGTGAGACTTTCATGTCTATGACACATAACTACTTAAAATTTAATATTATCTACATAATAACATTGAAATTATTTAGTATATTGTGAACTCTACTGTAAAATTTCCTTCTTTTCCATACCTCCTCTGCCAATAATATCTCCCCATAATGCCCATGGGTTTTTATCTTCCTTAAACTATTCCTACCTTTGGATTCATTCTGGTTTTACATCTGAGTAGGTGTAATTATCAAAGGGTGCCAGACTAAATTTTCACTCCTGATGCTTTTCAAAAAGTGTAGACTGTGTGAGGTACTAAATATAAATACATATATATATAATCTGAATATGTTGCAGGCAATATCTCCCTATTTGGCTATACAGTTTCCTGAGAAGAACTATCATATGCTATACCTGTAGAAAAATTAAATTTCTTTTATGTAATCTCTGAGTCTTCTATGCTATCCTCCAAACTTTGAGACTGGCATCCACTGTGACCAGCTATGTAAAACATGTGATGGCTTATATAAGTCTAGCCCTACATGCTGATACAATGGTTAGGGGAAATACCAGGTAGAAGAGAGGTCCAAATACAGATGAAGAAAATAAAACATTTCCACCAAATTCTGACATTTTCATTGTAACAAATTTTCCTTTTCTACAACCTGCAAGTGTATGTCTGGATGCTGGGAAAGGGGGAAAAGAAATTTCATCTTTGCCATCTATTGGGCGATAATTGATTATGGAATGAGAGAAAATGAACACAAAAAGTGTAATTATGCAAAGGAGAACACTCCATGGAGGATGTACAAGAAGTTCTTCTGAAACCTCTGCTGGGCTAGGTGGGCTCTGCCCTATTAATGTATTTAGCTGGTGGCTGATACCTTCCAGGAGAGGCATTTAATTTCAGAACACAGCCTTCTCATTGTGGCTGTGATTTTAAACTTACTGGGTAATGGAGCATATTGCCATTTACCATATGATGAGATGGCCTTGTCTGTCAGCCAGGGAGATGCTTAATGTTATATATGGGTCAAATGAGCCAAAAAAAGAGAGAAGGAAAAAAAATTAAAGAACATTGAGCCCTCTAACAAAAGGGGAAACTTCCCCTATGGCAAGTAGCCACATAGTGTTTTTTTAAAGAACCATTTTCTCCTGAAAATTGATTAAGTAGCACTAAGTCATGTAAGATAAAGGAATTCCAAGGTCAAGGGGGATTTCTGCAGAATCACCCATCACAGTGATCACCACAGCAGATGTTGTCCTTTCAGCAGAAATAATTCTTTAATGTTTGCAAATACATTTAGTTCCATAAAAAAATAGGAATTCTCCAACATATCAGACAGAACACTAAAGCCTTTTCTTGTGAATATTTGCATACAATAAATGAGGAAGAGCTATAAAAACCAAATCAATCAGATATTTGGAATTTGAGTAGTTGTTCCCATAGATTTACTGAATGTATCCCTTGAAAGGTGTAATGCTATTTGCAAGCCTTACATGACAATTGGCTATGTAAAATTAGATAAATATATAAGCTAAAAATAAAGAGATTAATTGAACTAATCTTATGTCTCAACTTGATTTAGTGAAGGTGTTTATTTTCAGCAACTTTGACCAGAAAAGCAAAATAATAAGTTCGGGTTCAATCCTTAAGAAAGCTCTATAACAACCATGAAATACATTATGTAGACAAAAACAAAAAAACAGCAGCTGCCATTTTCATCACCCCAGATCTTATTTAACCAGATAAATATAGAACTGCTCTGGAGTTCACAGTAATCACAATGCTGTAAATTCTGCCATCTTAATTCTTAGCCTTAAGATTTTCTTATTAAAGCCAAATTATGCCTCAGGAGAGAGATTTCTGTAATGTGCCTATGGATGATGGTGAATTAAATATCAGAGATGATTCAGAAGTTTAGGCTATCCAATCAACACCTCTGCTCCAAAATCCA